TTTTGTCCTTCCTAGCACTTTTCTTCACTTCTTTGTCCAGTCGCTGTGTAAGTTGAGCTCAGCGTCTCCTTCTCCTGTCCGTCCTTGCATTGAATCATTTTCTCTTTCACCATTCTCCTCTCTTCTATTAATTTCCAAGTGTCCGTTGAGAGCCATTCCTTGTCTTGTCTCTTCTTTCTTCCTAGAACCGTTGAACACGTTTCGTTGAGAATCGCCTTCAGAGACTTCCAATGTTCTTCCACGCATGATTCTTCAGTGATGTCGCGTAGTGTTTCCTGCTTTGCTCTGACAGTTGCAGTGAAAGTGTCTTTTGTGGTTGTGTCCTTCAGTAATTGAGTGTTGAACTTGCATTGTGGCCTATCCCCAGCTATCCTCGAGGCTTTTAGTTTCACCTTGAAAGTCCCTTCTACTAGATAGTGGTCTGAACCCACATCTGCTCCTCTCCTTGACCTTGTGTCCAGTAGGCTCCGTCTCCACTTTCTTGAAATTGAGATGAAGTCTATTTGGTTCTTGGTGTTTCCATCTGGTGAAATCCATGTCGTCTTGTGTATATCCTTGTGTTTGAACACACTACCACCAATCACCAAATCATTGAAGGCGCAGAAGTCTGAGAAGAGTTCACCATTGTCGTTCATTTCACCGAGGGCCTCACGACCCATGGTGAGTTCTCTTCCTGTGTTGTCTCGTCCCAGCTTCGCATTCATGTCGCCCATCAGGATTTTGATATCGCCATTTGGGACGTTGTCCATTATTGCTTGTAGTTGTCTGTAGAACGCCTCCTTCTTCTCTTGTTCTGAGACGTTTGTAGGCGCATAACATTGAATGACTGTAACTTTCCTTCCTTTTGAGTTGAACCTGGCTGTCATTATCCTGGAGGAGATTGGTTCCCACTGCATGAGAGCTTTGGCTGCTGTTGGTGACATCATGATGGCCACTCCCTCCGTGTGCTCGTGGTTGTCCTCTGGGTGGCCGAAAAGATTACTGTCTCTCCAGTAGGTAGTTGGCACCTTCCAGTTCCGTTCCATCTGCTTTCGCAGATTCCCAACACTTCTATTCTGTACCTTCTCATTTCAGCGGCTATCTGGGCAGCCTTTCCAGTTTCGTACATTGTACGAACATTCCAGGTACCATCCTTACTTTTGCTTTCATCGAAAGAAGGCACATCGGCTGACTGGCTTCCCGAAGGCTGGCTTTCACTAGTCTGCGTCATATCACACCCCTGATTCCACCGAAAAGTAAAGCTATTGCTCAGGATTTTAGAATTTTTAATATATTCATTCGTTGAAGATTCTGTAGCCAGCCTCCTATCGCTGGTTCTAGTTCTACCAGATGGAATGCAAGGAGAGAGCTGAGTATTGAGAGGATCCTCGGCGTCTGACAATACAGTATTCGCTAGTTTCTTACATGACATTATATGTCTATCCACAATAGTGTTAACCAGTTAGTTGGTTTAACGATATCCCACTTGCCCTCCGTACTAACGGCTTTTAGTGGCTGACCGTCTCAGCGAAGCAAAATCTTTATTAAGTAGTCCAGGAAGGATCAATGGGGAGCAGTAAACAGGGATGGGTAGAATACAGGAATTGACAAACTGACAAAGCAAAGACTGTTTTATACCAGAATGCCTTAACTTCCTAACGTAGAACGTTAAGCGAAACATCTTTCTAGTAACTAGGAAGATGTCGGAGGACCAGGAAAGATTGGAGGAAATACTCAGTCCAAGGTAATTGACATTAGATGTAATTTCAAGCTGTATTCCGTGAATGATAGTGGGGCGATGTGAGCTAGCTAGTTGTTGTAGGTCACGTTTTCGTCTGAAAGTGAAATTGACTACCTGACATTTTGACGGATTCAGCTTAAGACCGTTTGAAGAGGACCACTGACTAATTTCCGACAGAAAGTTATTTATTTTGGAACAATCTGACCGAGAGTTGACAGGCATAGAAACAGAGAGGTCATCATCATACTTGACAAAAGTGGCTACATCAGAATGGGGCAAGTCATGTAAGAAAGCAAAAAGAAAAGAGAAAAGGAGAAAGAACAGTCAGTACCTTGAGGAACACCAGCTAGGGTAAGTGAGGTAGTGGAGGACTGACTTTCCATTGTAGACGGTGTACTGCTTCCTATCAGAAAAATAGGAATGCAACCACTTATTTGTCCAGCTCTCAGACTTTGTTCCAGCAAGCCTCCTTAGCGAGAGACACCTAGGTACACAGTCAAATGCAGATGTGTAATCAAGGAAGGAAGGCACACCGAACGTATTTAGCTCGTCTATCTAAACTAGAGACTATATATAGGACAACAGCGGCATCTGAGGATATCAAATGTAAAATTAGTGTGTAATAGAAGATGTGAAAAACAAAATAATAGTAAGGAAGAAAGGAAAACAAAAAGTAATGGGAACTATTTGTTCGAGTTCCGCAGTGAGTTGATCGTGTCATACCTAGGGTATTTCTGACCACATAACAGCTGTTCCAGATAAGGTATTGTGGAGATTTTCCACATAGAAGACCTAGCATATAGCCAGCCAGTGCGGCAGTCAGCCTCCTATCGCTGGTTCTAGTTCTACCAGATGGAATGCAAGGAGAGAGCTGAGTATTGAGAGGATCCTCGGCGTCTGACAATACAGTATTCGCTAGTTTCTTACATGACATTATATGTCTATCCACAATAGTGTTAACCAGTTAGTTGGTTTAACGATATCCCACTTGCCCTCCGTACTAACGGCTTTTAGTGGCTGACCGTCTCAGCGAAGCAAAATCTTTATTAAGTAGTCCAGGAAGGATCAATGGGGAGCAGTAAACAGGGATGGGTAGAATACAGGAATTGACAAACTGACAAAGCAAAGACTGTTTTATACCAGAATGCCTTAACTTCCTAACGTAGAACGTTAAGCGAAACATCTTTCTAGTAACTAGGAAGATGTCGGAGGACCAGGAAAGATTGGAGGAAATACTCAGTCCAAGGTAATTGACATTAGATGTAATTTCAAGCTGTATTCCGTGAATGATAGTGGGGCGATGTGAGCTAGCTAGTTGTTGTAGGTCACGTTTTCGTCTGAAAGTGAAATTGACTACCTGACATTTTGACGGATTCAGCTTAAGACCGTTTGAAGAGGACCACTGACTAATTTCCGACAGAAAGTTATTTATTTTGGAACAATCTGACCGAGAGTTGACAGGCATAGAAACAGAGAGGTCATCATCATACTTGACAAAAGTGGCTACATCAGAATGGGGCAAGTCATGTAAGAAAGCAAAAAGAAAAGAGAAAAGGAGAAAGAACAGTCAGTACCTTGAGGAACACCAGCTAGGGTAAGTGAGGTAGTGGAGGACTGACTTTCCATTGTAGACGGTGTACTGCTTCCTATCAGAAAAATAGGAATGCAACCACTTATTTGTCCAGCTCTCAGACTTTGTTCCAGCAAGCCTCCTTAGCGAGAGACACCTAGGTACACAGTCAAATGCAGATGTGTAATCAAGGAAGGAAGGCACACCGAACGTATTTAGCTCGTCTATCTAAACTAGAGACTATATATAGGACAACAGCGGCATCTGAGGATATCAAATGTAAAATTAGTGTGTAATAGAAGATGTGAAAAACAAAATAATAGTAAGGAAGAAAGGAAAACAAAAAGTAATGGGAACTATTTGTTCGAGTTCCGCAGTGAGTTGATCGTGTCATACCTAGGGTATTTCTGACCACATAACAGCTGTTCCAGATAAGGTATTGTGGAGATTTTCCACATAGAAGACCTAGCATATAGCCAGCCAGCCAGCCAGCCAGTGCGGCAGTCAGCCTCCTATCGCTGGTTCTAGTTCTACCAGATGGAATGCAAGGAGAGAGCTGAGTATTGAGAGGATCCTCGGCGTCTGACAATACAGTATTCGCTAGTTTCTTACATGACATTATATGTCTATCCACAATAGTGTTAACCAGTTAGTTGGTTTAACGATATCCCACTTGCCCTCCGTACTAACGGCTTTTAGTGGCTGACCGTCTCAGCGAAGCAAAATCTTTATTAAGTAGTCCAGGAAGGATCAATGGGGAGCAGTAAACAGGGATGGGTAGAATACAGGAATTGACAAACTGACAAAGCAAAGACTGTTTTATACCAGAATGCCTTAACTTCCTAACGTAGAACGTTAAGCGAAACATCTTTCTAGTAACTAGGAAGATGTCGGAGGACCAGGAAAGATTGGAGGAAATACTCAGTCCAAGGTAATTGACATTAGATGTAATTTCAAGCTGTATTCCGTGAATGATAGTGGGGCGATGTGAGCTAGCTAGTTGTTGTAGGTCACGTTTTCGTCTGAAAGTGAAATTGACTACCTGACATTTTGACGGATTCAGCTTAAGACCGTTTGAAGAGGACCACTGACTAATTTCCGACAGAAAGTTATTTATTTTGGAACAATCTGACCGAGAGTTGACAGGCATCGAAACAGAGAGGTCATCATCATACTTGACAAAAGTGGCTACATCAGAATGGGGCAAGTCATGTAAGAAAGCAAAAAGAAAAGAGAAAAGGAGAAAGAACAGTCAGTACCTTGAGAACACCAGCTAGGTAAGTGAGGTAGTGGAGGACTGACTTTCCATTGTAGACGGTGTACTGCTTCCTATCAAAAAATAGGAATGCAACCACTTATTTGTCCAGCTCTCAGACTTTGTTCCAGCAAGCCTCCTTAGCGAGAGACACCTAGGTACACAGTCAAATGCAGATGTGTAATCAAGGAAGGAAGGCACACCGAACGTATTTAGCTCGTCTAAAGCTATGGAGCGTTCGTTGGCTATTTCAAAAATTAATATGAACAGTAATATTTATTCACCACATTATATTCCGATGAATATCCCCATTTGACATTCATTTGACAGTCAAAAGCGAAATGACTTTTATGCGTATCTCAGCATTATTATTGCACTACAGTAGAGATCAACTCAATAATTAGTAAGATATACTCATTTCGATTGTCCATGTATCCGTATCTGTGTGTGTATGTATGTATGCATGTATGTATGTATGTATGTATGTATGCATGCATGTATGTATGCATGTATGTATGTATGTATGTATGTATGTATGTATGTATGCATGTATGTATGTATGTATGTATGTATGTATGTATGTATGTATGTATGTATGTATGCATGTATTGTAAATTCTACAGCAACAACAGGATATCTTGTGTTCTACAAAAATAACTGAAAAAGTTTTTCTGTCCAAGTGAAGGATATAGCTGTGAATAGAGTGGAAAAATCGACAAGTGAAAAGTACGGAGAGTATCAGGGAACCGATTTCTGACGGAATAATCTCCAGTTTTCAAGCATTCATTTTGTAGTCAAGCACATTATATGTGTATATGTGGATTTGAAGACTAGACATTACGAATTCATTTTACGCTGTTCATTTAGTTTCCAATAGGCACTCATGAATTTAGTCATTTCACAGGAAACCTTCGGATGATAGAATCTTGAATCGGATCTATCCATAACCATCTGTAAACAAGAGAAACGAACAGATACGATTAAAACTGTAAAGTGAAAAGTGACTAAATGACGAGATGATATTAGGTGAGCAAATACCACCATCTAACAGTTGTTTCTATCAAATTTTACAGATTTAAAAGTCTTTTTATTTAGTGACCTCAGAAGTCAACCTTAAACTTTTGATTTTGACTTCTTGTAGGACCAGTGAGACTCTGTGACAATGAAGTTTGAAGACTGATAAGTTAAACACAGCTAAGAGGTATTAGATGCCGTAACTGATTAACTTCTCCAGTGTTGTGGAACTTACGCATTTGTGTGGTTGTTCTAGATGTAACTCCTTACTCAGAGAGGATCGAATACACCTTAACTTCACGGAATTATTCTAAGTGAAAACGAGAGTAAGACAAGCTGGCTGCCTACTACTATCTCCAATGATTTTCCTGATTCCGGTAGACTACATAATACGACAGACACACAGCGGGAAACGAGGAGATAGGCATAAAATGGAACCACACGATCTGGATCGGGTTTTCGCCCACGATATATGTCTGATTTCCCGCAAACCGGACAACATGCAAGTGAAAAGCAACGAGTTGGCAGAAGAAGCATCCACACAAGATAAGCCTTCAGGTGAAAATAGAGAAAACAGGTGTGGTGATGGTGGAGACTCCTGGTCAACAACAACAACAGATAACAAGCAACGATCAGCATAAATCGGAGGAGTCTGCAAGAAGCCACCTCCTTTACCTACCTACTTACCGGCCGAACGACCAACCGACCAACTGACAGACCAACCTGGGAAGCATCGTTTCAACTACGTGTGGACGGAAGTGATGAGGATATGAGGGTGAGGATCGGGAAAGAAAGACAAGCTTTCATTACTCTCATCAAGTGTGTGTCGAGATGAACAGCACTCAGCATGAAAAATGAGATCCGGGTTTTCAACTCTAATGTGAAGTCAGTGCTACTATAGGGATCGGAGACTTTGCGCGTCACGAAGGCCAATTCAGATAAACTACACACCCTCATCAACAGCTACCTTCGCTGAATGCTTCGCTCAAGATTAGATAACCGGCCGGAGGAGGTGAGCTACAGGGATCTCTGGCAATGAACCAAAGAACCGACCCAGCAGGAATCAATAGTGCAACAAATGTGCAGGAAGAAATGGACATGGACTGGATTGGCCATACTCCGAGAAAACAAGCCATCAAGTGAATGACATCACACGCCAGACCATCTTTCTACTACTCGAATGGAACCCGAATGGGAAGCAACGAATCGGTCGTCAGTACGAGGGTGACATTTAGGAGGAGGAGGTGGAGACGATGCGAATAGGAGATGAGAGCATTTGGACAGACAGTGAGTCAGGTGAGAACGTTGGCGGAGAATCGAACGCAATGGAGACGTGTAGGCGAAGCCTTATGCTCCTCTAGAAACTAAAGGAAACATTAATAAATAACATGACAATAACAACTTCTGTTTCCCAAGGAATAATTTCCAAAATAACAGTTTCCCCAATGTAATCAGAGTACATCAACGGAGTTGATAAACTTACTAATGGCTGACTTATCCACCCATATTCTTGGTTCTCCGTTTGAGGCTCAATATATTTCTTTGGTGGTTCCAATGCAGCACGTTTAATCACTTCAGAAAAATGTTCTGTGAATGGTTTTCAAAGAAACAAAACAGACAACGCGTGGTAAACTCCGCGGGAAGCTTAGCAATTAAAAACTCACGCTGATAAGTGAATCATATCTTGATCAGCTTAAGACTCAGACAAAGCAGTGAAAGTTAGTGAAGGACTGTGAAAATATGCATATTCATTTGTGAACTTTTATTTCAGCTCAGTTTCCGTATGCTAGAAAACTGCTTCAGTGAATCTACTTTAGAAATTGGTGAAGTGATTAGATTCACCAACACAATGGAAATGACAACCACGTCACACCGTAGGAAACAGCACCATCGTTAGCAAAGCTCTAGAGGACTAAACAACTAAGCTTATTCCTTACTAGAATTGGATAGACGGCTCATTTTGAGGAATAAATCCAACTTGTGAAAGCCTTCGGAAGACTTGTCAACCGACATGTTGGCTTTCGATGAGACCGAAGTTAATTTTGATGACATAGAATGTCATCACCGTGTTTGAGACTGATCGGTGAGACCTCCCAGATTACTTGGGTCTCGAGGCACTTAGTGATACAAATGAGAACGCTGAACTACTCGGAGTCTTCTGCACGATTTTCATTGGGCGATTGGAGACAGCGCTCACAGGTGGAAGGATATAAACAAGACCATATATGCTTCTGCTGATGAGCTTCATTCCAGTCTCATCTCGAGGATGTGAAGATGCAGCCAGTACTCTACCCCTCGTAATAAGTGGTATGATGAAATGAGTAATATAGAGGCAACGCATCCAGTGTTAGATGACAATGAAAAGTCAATCGATGAGGATGTGAATCTACATGGATTGAGATGGTTAAGACATGTGTTACGCATGACCGCCTGCCTAGCCATCACCTTCCTCGACCGACGGCCATTGCTAGGTAACATAAGAAGGATTAGGTCGGGAAAGAGTTAGCCAGTGGTGGTGGACAAACCAGAACATGGCTTCATCAGTCGGCGAAATCCACAACAGTTGGTTTAAGACGACCAGTCAGCTAGCCAGCCAGCCAGCCACGTGTCTCCACACGTAGACTATGCGTCTGGTTGGCGTCCTCGGGATGGCGAAATCCAATGAAGGTAGGCTGGAGCTAGTCGGTGATGGTATGGCTCGAAATCGTTCTCGGTGATGGCCAGCTGGCTCGTGATCTGGCTGGCTGATACAGGTGCATTCACTCGCTGTGATTTATCATATCCAATAAAAATCTACTCTTCTTCCATATTACTATCCTTCTTGCCTCACTCACACTTCTCTTTATTATCTCCCTCTCTCCATCTCTCTATCTCTCTGTGTGTTTCGAATCTGTCCTTTCTCTCTCCTCTCGCTTTGTGTATTACATGGAATGATTGTGTCAAGGTGAACTGGTGCACATCTGTGGAAAGTTCTGTGTCGAAAGCAGTCAGTCAATCAGTCAGCAAGCCACGTAGTCGAGAATTGGAGAGGATGTGGTCTTCTACCATTTTGTACAGGAGAGATTTTGTAAAACTCTATCAACTAACCAGATCTCTATATGGTAGGCGATCAGTGCAGGTATATTCAGTGATAGGTGACGGGAGAAACCCGATCACCAAGATGGTGGAAGAGAGGAAACTCTGGGTTGGTCACTCTAAAGGGCTTCCGAATCGACCGTCACCTACAACTCAACTCGAAACACTGATACCAGACACAGAAATCAGCCACCTCAAACGGGATACTAGTCTAGAGGAAAATATTGGCCTGACTCTTGGAAATTGTTAGTAAAAGGTGTTTTATATGAGAGTTTATAATACAGACAGGGCTAATACGGCCAAACTGAAGGAAGTTACAGAACATGACTAACCTAGCGGATGGGCAGTAAACGTGACCATTCAACAATGTGAGCTGCCTCGGTTTAATTGAAATTTTACGGAAAACAGGGTGACTCATGAATATTACAGCGTAAAATCATAAGAGGTGGTTTATCAGATGTGTGTAATACCATTGGATTATCCCTTTAACTGTAGGTTTCTGAGAATTAACTTATTCCCCAATACTGACTTGAACTTACTGTCTTCTGAGTCAATTTCTTGTATTCTGTTTGGTCTATCAGCCAGAGGACACACTGGAAGATCATTCAATAAGCCAAAACCTACTTTTCTTGAAAGGATTGATGCTATATTCAGTAAATAACTTCTGATGCTTGAGCTCCTTTTTGATTGTTTCACTCATAATTATAGCTTGATGGACATAATTCAGCATCTTGTTATTTTGATCGGACATTTTGTGTTCTGTATTCAATGAAAAGTCTAACAATAAATTTCCATATTATGACATGTAGTCATGATAATCAAAAATTCACAAACATGTCAGGTGTCCACATTCATTCTCTTAATCGATAAGAAGTTACAAAATGGAAATCGAACATCATATATTTGTCCTTTCATTTAGAAGTAATTCTCATGCCCACCTTACTTTTGATCTTCTCAAATAGCTGCATCTTTGTTGTTTGTGTGCTGCTGCATACCTGTTTGCCCGAATGGAACAAACTTACACTTCTGGACGTGTCCATTGTTATTTGTAGACTATAAGCAGCAAAAGATCACTTCACACCTGAATCTTAGTTATTTTATTCTGACTTCCATTATTATTTCAGACTTAAGTGTCCTTTATTGGTTAGACAGTGAATAGTTCCAAACTACGATATTGAAATATAAGTCCATATCAAAACAAAACATAATCGAATAAGTTAGTTTGTAGGAAAGCTGAACGTAAGGATTGGATAAACAGAAAATATGGCCGGAACACAAGCAACAGTAGAATGACACGAGATGTCCAAAGGAAATATATAGAAAATAATAGAAACGCAATGGTTAGAGATCATTGTGGAATATCAGCTATCCGGTGTTAGCAGCGGAATAAAGTTGCCTATCCCAACTATTCCAGTGACTGTTATTTTATAATAGAAAGAAACATCAAAACATATGTTTTGACCATATAATGGTCAGTGGCTCTGGATTTTATGGTCCGGATTAGATTACTATGTCCATGGATATGCTGATACTTCAATTTCGGCCAAATTAACCTGAATACTTTGTCCTCCACACCTTACTTCGAAGCGTGTCAAGACTTTCGTTGCATTATATTCAGTACCTCGCGTCCATTATTATCACCTCCTCTCTAATCTGCATAGCGTAAAGTACCCACACCTAAATAACGGGATCAGATGACCTCGTTATTACCTCATCATTAATTAATGAGGAGTAGCGATACTGAAACAAACAAACAAACAAACGTGGAGAATAAGGTAGAGATTACATAAAGATATCAGTGTGTGTCGCAATCTTCCCTTATCCCTGAAGATTTATGGAGTCATAAGGTGTATGGCGACTACAGTACACCTGAAATAAGTGGATTTTGGATCATATTAACTCTCATAATTTTATGGTTGATAACAGCAATTAAGTATTGTTACTGGGACAAAGAGCCAAAGATCAACTTCCGTTGTTGGATAGAATCCTTCTCAGTGTACACGTGTTCATTGAGGATTTTTCGCCAAGCCTGATACATGATTATAAAGTTATTACGTATCATCATGTCGACAAAGAAACTGAACCTCAACCATTTTTAACTGAAAATGCGTACTTCGTAGTGGTGAATCTTTTTAGAAAAATTGTAATCATAACTTTTACTGCCTAAAGCTAACTCCCTTTAGCCAATAAATGTCACACAAACCCAAATAAAATCCAACACACTTACATGCTATGTAACAAGTATGCGCATATATATCTATGTATACATATAGATATATAGCTTACAACAATTCTAAACTTATTCGAACCTTTTCTTCGGTAATGCCTTTTTATGGTAAATGATTTTATCAACCCACTGTGTTCTGGTATAATGCTGCTCGTGTTTGATATGTCCTGTGAGGGCTGGAATAACGCTGATAAGCCGACCCAGTAGGTTCTGATCTACTCCTGTATATATGTATAAAAAAAGAACAGGGTGCCAACAGTGGCTGTATACATGCATGCTGAAAACCAGTACTGAGTTCAAGTCTGTGCCATTAGAGAGTCCATTTGAGGACACATTCAGAATTTACTCACTATAGAATGTTAGAATTACTTCAAAATTAGTGAGATTTAATTCAGCATTATAGTAAGCTTAGGTATTCTACTTATTATAATTGAACAAAAAATCAGAATTAAACTGTTTGCTTGACTTGTCAAAGATTAAAACTTTTGAGAGGCAGTAACACATGAATCATAGTATTACTATGACAAATATAGTCCAACCGGTATGGTGTAAGGGGTTTACAATAATATTACTATTATTTTGAAATGTTGAGCTATCTGTAACTTGGCTTTGATTGGTATTGCTTGACTTAAACAAAATACATCAAGCTTTATAGATTCAGTTTAGAATACCTGAAGCCCATATCAATCTATTTCTCATTAAACACATGAGATTTTATCTTTTGAATGGGTTTTTTGAATCGCTTCTAAAAGCCAACAACTCGATTAACAAATTAACACCCCATACGTGTTTTGTTTTTCTACTTGGGTCGTGGTCGCTGCTACTATGCCTCACAAGCTTCAAGGCCTGTTGAGGAGCGAAGGGGAGATAAATGCAGTTTATGTTTATTTCTTAAGTTTCTGAATATTGCGATTATCTCCCCTTCTCTCTGTTGTGTGACAATCAAATAAGGTCTTTCCCAAGTAGAATCTCTTCAGATTATACAGTCGTCGGCGTAGAATGCCAGAATATTTGATGGACACAGATAGTAGCCTGATTTACCGACGTTTCTGGAGTGCACTTTTTGTTTCCGAGGCAATTTATAACAACCTCTTTTATTATTCATCCTAGGATTTTATTTGATGTGTGGGTATGAATGATAGGTGTGTTGCCTGAATACTAAACACTATTTGATCCTCTGAGTCAAACGACAACACACTTTTTATTAGAAATAACTTTAAATCAGTGGCCAACGGAACCAGTATGCGGTTTCCGTCAGTTTTTGAGAAGCCTTAATTTTAGTTCGTCGGGGTTGAACCGATATAGTTGTACCTAGTGCACTTGGAGATCTTTACTCATTGTTTGCTTCGAAAATCGTTAAATATTTTGGATTTACACTTTCATACACAGTAGGTGATCTCCACATGAATTGCTAAGATTTGTTATCCTCATTGGCCTTAACATCTTTTCGAGCAGTTTATTTCCTTTGCGATAAGCACCGATCGGTTTGGCACGTGGGTTGGTTTGAATTCGTGTGCGTAGTATTTGGTGATATAAAACGTTGTCAATGTAGTTGAAGATTGAACGATCAATTCATGGTTGTTTGCTCAAAACCAACTTCCCCAATTTTCGCGGAGGCATCAATACGACAGTCATCGTCTCATCGGTCGCTGTTCAGAAAGAAGCCAGCAATAAACCGTCAGAAACCTTAGTAGAAATATTTTTTATATGTTGGTGTAACAATAAAGAATTCTCAAGCAGCCAATCGGTATTTTGGTTTGTTTGTCCGTTATTACTAAGCGTTTCTGAAAAACTTCAAGGAACAGCGTGAGCCCGAGCGTAGCTAGAGCTGGGCATTAACGTTTTACGAGAAGTGTCTGACAAACGTACTGCATATGCTGCAACGTAGTGATCCGTTGGTTAGCTATGCTTACCTACAAACAAAATATGCTATCTATGTAATACACGCAGTCACATGGGTCCTCTGAATGGTTTATGAGTTCTCTCTATGCAATAATCATCGTTATCGGAAATGGTATTGAGAAATAACTGGCCCCTTTTTTCAATGCATTCACATTTTACCAACATATTAGTATCACGCCAAATTTCATTCTGTCAGTAGGCGTTATTCGTTCCCTACCCAAACCCTCTTTTACTCGTATGAATAGCACTATTTGTGCCATGTCGGATTCAAATTGCTTTTGGATATGAAAGGCTACGGAATTGTAGTCTGATATGGTATTCCGACGGTCCTGATCCTCCGGAGATTTCATCTGAAGTTAAACCCACCCCACTACTTAAACACTGTATCTCCTCGTTTATTCGTTTCAAGCACGATTGGGACAATACACAATTTAGAAGATGGAGGACATCAACACTTACGCAACATATCAAGTATACAAATGGAAGTGTTTGTACTGTAACTCCTGAGGTAGTTTTTCTGAGACTGGCGGCAAATTAAAACACCTATTTGATTATATTTCGGTATCAGAAGTGTAGGAGGGGAATGACTGTCTCAATGGTCAGGTCGCGCGCAGGATTAATTGGACGTATCAGACAGCGTGCCGAATGCTTTGGATGCTTGGCAGTCAATCTGCAGCTTAACTATTCAATTCAAACATTGGAGATCAGCGCCCACTGCTTGATGGGGAACATTTTATCGACTGTTTCAGTTTTATTTCTTCGACGACAATTTGTTTACCCCGATGCATCATTACACTTTCTGGAATAATAAAACTCCACCTTTCTCGGATATATAGATATATATAATAGATATTTCAAACTCATTCTTGTGCTTTCTTGTCGCACATTCTGCAGTAATCTGCGGTAAGCATCTGCAGCTCATGATTTTCTGTTTTACCATATTCTTAGTGTGCATATTTTTTGGTATTTTGTTACTCTTTAACTATTTTTCTGCGAATTGTATCATGTCTTCCAATACTTCTAATAACTTAGAGCTGGGATCTGTTAGTACTATTTATCTCACTGTACTAGTTTTTAAGCCCAGAGACTCCTATCTTTGGTTTGTGCGACTGGAGCATTACTTCACTGCAGATAAGCTCAGATCACAGACGGCTAAATTTGGCATTTTGAGTACAGTACTACCAGACGAAGTCGCTGAGCAGGTACGACAATACATCGTTCAAACCAGCACAGAAGCGCCTAACGAGAATTTGAAGGAAGAGGTACTTCGATGCATTTCGATTTCGGATAGGCAAGCACTCGATCGTTTTCAAGCAATGTAGAGCTAGGTGATAAAACCCCATCGCAACTCATGAGGCACATGCAAAGCCTAGTAGCAGGAAGAAAAATCGATAAACGCATCTGTCAGCCACGTCTTGTAAACCGTTAATGCCTAGCTCTTGCTACGCTCGGGCTCACGCTATCGCTTGAAGTTTCTCAGAAACGCTTAGTAATAACGGACGAAAAAACCAAAACACCAATTGTTGACTCGAGGATTCTTAATTGTTACACCAACATATAAATCACGTATGACTAAGGTCTGTGAACAAATATTACAATAATAAATCACAATATTACTTCTGACGGTGTTTTACTCTTCTTTCTGAACAGCGACCGATGAGACGATGACTGTCGTATTGATGCCTCCGCGAAAATTGGGGAAGTTGATTTTGAGCAAACAACCATGAATTGATCGTTCAATCTTCAACTACATTGACACTCCCCGGCAAAATAGGGATACAACCTCTTTTTTCCATCACGACCAATACACGTTGACTTGGATGCCATTGCGAGAACCTGGGTCACACGGACAGAGCTGAAATGGAAAACAAACAGAAAAGCCAACACACCACAAGCATACTCACAGCACAATCTCACACATCAATGACGACCTCCGCCTTCCAGTTAAAGGTGTCCTCTTGCAACACAATCGCCACTTGCTAGAATGACTCTTGCAGAATGCAACGTGACCATGGCACACCTCACGATACTCTACGCTCATCCTCTTATCTACTCACTACCAATAACCACTGCAATCGCTTGTCACTCATTCTGCCCCAATTCTAGTAACGATGACGTATGCGAGCCTCAGTCGTTTACACTCTCGCTCCCCGGCGTGTCGGACCACAGCTAACAATTATCTCCGTGTGCATATCACTCTCAGCAATAGCCTAGCCTCCCCGGCGTATACGACCCATCTGCTGTCTCTAACATCAACCAATTCATTCACGGATGTAGAAGACTCGAAACAACTTCACAAGTAAGCACGAAGAACAATTTAACCAAATTATGCAATAACAACAAGATAATAAAATAATAAAAAGTAAACACAACGAAGCCAAAAACACCAATTGATATGACACACCACACATATATACAAACAGTACACACAAACTCGCTGATCATATCTTGATGGAATTCCTTTGAAGGATCACAGGACTTACACCTGTAGGCCTGCAACCCTTCTCAGGTTGACGATTGTATGCTAAAGAATGTCCGGACACAAACAAGATTAACCAACAATTACATTAATTGGAACCCACTCAATTATTTAACACAAACATATGTACAATCAATACATCAAATGTTGTGGATTCTGCCCTGACGAACTACCCTTGAAGAACTGTAGGACTTACAGCAGTACTCCTATATTCCTTCTCAGGTTGACGATACAAGTGGAAGGCGTCCAGTCACAAACAGAATTACCAACAGCTAGATGACAGATGATATCAATTCAGTATATACAATATGAACATATGTACAAAATCACACACCAAACACGTTGGGCTGCTCATTGATGAGCTACCCTTTGAAGAATTGTAGGACTTACAGCAGTACGCCTACAAACCCTCTCAGGTTGACGCTCTAGGTTGGAAAATCGTAGCAGAGTTCATTTGCTGACTTCCTTCTATCAGCTATATCCTCAAATCTGAACGGTAATACGCTAATGTCATTGTATCGTAGAACATAGATGACGAACAAACACGCGAAGTATCTGGTCAACCAAGCGTAGGCACAGAGTAATTTACACCAAAGATAATAGCATTCAAATAGTAACTTGAAATTAGAAATGCCTTTATTCATGCAAGTCAATTTAACAATTACTCTCTCGTTTACACTTGGCTTATTCTCACTAAACCAAGAAATATCTTTCGCCTTTTCAAACGCACCAATACTATCATAGTTATTGCAGAAGATATTTGAGTTGATGGGCATCTGTTTCATTGTGGATGACAACACCAACGATGACTGAGTGACACAAGGTGGTGAACTTAGTGGTGGATCAAAAGCTGTTGTTGCTCGACTTTCAGAAAGTTGTCTACCTGCAAGATTACCACCACTGCTGTCTTTCACTACTATTTCGGGTTTAGCACTAGCATCTGATGATAGGTGGGCTACACGCTGATCAATCACACTGACGGTCTCACAAGTATGCATGCCTTCTGCAACTGCACCTGCATTTATTTCTACTTCACGTTCAAGTTGTACAGAAACTTTGTTCAACTTAGCAGTAGTAGGCATATCCCTTATCTCATCATGAACAACCAAAGACAAATGTGAAGTATCATGATCATTATCACGAATATTCACTTTACCGTCAACTTCATCATTTTCAAACTCTTTAATAACAGAAG